ACATCCTTACTGTATCAGTGTCGAAGGGTGTGGAGCCATCCCACAGATGACATCCTTACCTTGTCAGACCTGCATCACTTCGGGCCTTCCTCCCACATTAAGCTGACACGCCGTGTAAGCTGGAATACTGTTAAAAGCGGGGTTAAAACCAACTCACTCACTCATTAACTATAGTGTCTCTATGTCATGGGCTGCTATAGTGTGTGTGTATGTAATGGGCTGCTATAGTGTGTGTGTATGTCATGGGCTGCTATAGTGTGTGTATGTCATGGGCTGCTATAGTGTGTCTGTATGTCATGGGCTGCTATAGTGTGTGTGTATGTCATGTGCTGCTATAGTGTGTGTGTATGTCATGGGCTGCTATAGTGTGTGTGTATGTCATGGGCTGCTATAGTGTGTGTGTATGTCATGGGCTGCTATAGTGTGTCTGTATGTCATGGGCTGCTATAGTGTGTGTGTATGTCATGGGCTGCTATAGTGTGTCTATATGTCATGGGCTGCTATAGTGTGTGTGTATGTCATGGGCTGCTATAGTGTGTCTGTATGTCATGGGCTGCTATAGTGTGTGTGTATGTCATGGGCTGCTATAGTGTGTCTGTATGTCATGGGCTGCTATAGTGTGTGTGTATGTCATGGGCTGCTATAGTGTGTGTGTATGTCATGGGCTGCTATAGTGTGTCTGTATGTCATGGGCTGCTATAGTGTGTGTGTATGTCATGGGCTGCTATAGTGTGTCTGTATGTCATGGGCTGCTATAGTGTGTGTGTATGTCATGGGCTGCTATAGTGTGTGTGTATGTCATGGGCTGCTATAGTGTGTGTGTATGTCATGGGCTGCTATAGTGTGTCTGTATGTCATGGGCTGCTATAGTGTGTCTCTATGTCATGGGCTGCTATAGTGTGTCTGTATGTCATGGGCTGCTATAGTGTGTGTGTATGTCATGGGCTGCTATAGTGTGTGTGTATGTCATGGGCTGCTATAGTGTGTGTGTATGTCATGGGCTGCTATAGTGTGTCTGTATGTCATGGGCTGCTATAGTGTGTGTGTATGTCATGGGCTGATATAGTGTGTCTGTATGTCATGGGCTGCTATAGTGTGTGTGTATGTCATGGGCTGCTATAGTGTGTATGTATGTCATGGGGTGCTATAGTGTGTGTGTATGTCATGGGCTGCTATAGTGTGTCTGTATGTCATGGGCTGCTATAGTGTGTGTGTATGTCATGGGCTGCTATAGTGTGTCTATATGTCATGGGCTGCTATAGTGTGTCTGTATGTCATGGGCTGCTATAGTGTGTCTATATGTCATGGGCTGCTATAGTGTGTGTGTATGTCATGGGCTGCTATAGTGTGTGTGTATGTCATGGGCTGCTATAGTGTGTCTGTATGTCATGGGCTGCTATAGTGTGTGTGTATGTCATGGGCTGCTATAGTGTGTCTGTATGTCATGGGCTGCTATAGTGTGTCTGTATGTCATGGGCTGCTATAGTGTGTGTGTATGTCATGGGCTGCTATAGTGTGTGTGTATGTCATGGGCTGCTATAGTGTGTGTGTATGTCATGGGCTGCTATAGTGTGTGTGTATGTCATGGGCTGCTATAGTGTGTGTGTATGTCATGGGGTGCTATAGTGTGTGTGTATGTCATGGGCTGCTATAGTGTGTCTGTATGTCATGGGCTGCTATAGTGTGTCTGTATGTCATGGGCTGCTATAGTGTGTCTATATGTCATGGGCTGCTATAGTGTGTCTGTATGTCATGGGCTGCTATAGTGTGTGTGTATGTCATGGGCTGCTATAGTGTGTGTGTATGTCATGGGGTGCTATAGTGTGTCTGTATGTCATGGGGTGCTATAGTGTGTGTGTATGTCATGGGCTGCTATAGTGTGTCTGTATGTCATGGGCTGCTATAGTGTGTCTGTATGTCATGGGCTGCTATAGTGTGTCTATATGTCATGGGCTGTTATAGTGTGTCTGTATGTCATGGGCTGCTATAGTGTGTCTATATGTCATGGGCTGCTATAGTGTGTGTGTATGTCATGGGCTGCTATAGTGTGTGTGTATGTCATGGGCTGCTATAGTGTGTGTGTATGTCATGGGCTGCTATAGTGTGTGTGTATGTCATGGGCTGCTATAGTGTGTCTATATGTCATGGGCTGCTATAGTGTGTCTGTATGTCATGGGCTGCTATAGTGTGTCTGTATGTCATGGGCTGCTATAGTGTGTGTGTATGTCATGGGCTGCTATAGTGTGTCTGTATGTCATGGGCTGCTATAGTGTGTCTGTATGTCATGGGCTGCTATAGTGTGTGTGTATGTCATGGGCTGCTATAGTGTGTCTGTATGTCATGGGCTGCTATAGTGTGTGTGTATGTCATGGGCTGCTATAGTGTGTGTGTATGTCATGGGCTGCTATAGTGTGTGTGTATGTCATGGGCTGCTATAGTGTGTGTGTATGTCATGGGCTGCTATAGTGTGTCTGTATGTCATGGGGTGCTATAGTGTGTGTGTATGTCATGGGCTGCTATAGTGTGTCTGTATGTCATGGGCTGCTATAGTGTGTGTGTATGTCATGTGCTGCTATAGTGTGTGTGTATGTCATGGGCTGCTATAGTGTGTCTGTATGTCATGGGCTGCTATAGTGTGTGTGTATGTCATGGGCTGCTATAGTGTGTGTGTATGTCATGGGCTGCTATAGTGTGTGTGTATGTCATGTGCTGCTATAGTGTGTGTGTATGTCATGGGCTGCTATAGTGTGTGTGTATGTCATGGGCTGCTATAGTGTGTCTGTATGTCATGGGCTGCTATAGTGTGTCTGTATGTCCTGTTCACCTCCACTGTCAGGGTTTCATCCCCGGCTGGACAAACTGCTCAGTCTGTGGTCCTTCAGTATCTTCCCTAGTCTAGTGGTAGTGGAGCGGAAGGTCCAGGGTTCGATCCCGGCTGGACAAACTGCCGAGTCTGTGGTCCTTCAGTATCTTCCCTAGTCTAGTGGTCGTGGAGCGGAAGGTCCAGGGTTCGATCCCCGGCTGCGTCATACCGAAAGACGTTAAAAGATGGTACTTATTGTTACCTCGTCTGGAGCTCGGTATTAAGGGGCTAAAACAAGGTCTGGTCAGCTCGGAGTCAGTATACTGTGTTGAGAAATATCTTCAGGACATTTTGCATGACAGCGAAATGACTTTGAAATGAACCAGTGTGAAACCTGGTACTTACTTGTGTCTCTTGCCACAGATGGCTTCTGAGTCAATAAAGTATATATTCAGTGCAACTTGCAATTCTGAATCGGAAAAATAGAAAGTGTGTTGTTATTAAAGAACCTCTTTGTGAAAGCAGTTTCATTCATGAACTTCACTTGCTTCTAACCAGACACAAACAGAAGCAAATTCCAGAAAGCACTAAACAAGAGTGCAGCGCTGATGGAAAAACCAGCACATGGAGAAACAATCACCTAGCTTCTTGTAGGGAAATACTATCCTTGACATCCCGACATGCGATACTGCAGGCCGCCTCCAGGCAGGGTACTACGCAGTGCAGACATACTATAGCTGTGTGGAGAGACCATCACTTGGCGGTTGTAGTCTCATGCAGATCCTCAAACAGACATATGACAAAACTCAAGCATGTCTGAAATAGTCTGGCAAGTCTAGATTCCTCCAGATTCAGACAGATTATCTGGGCTCTTTTCTGGTATGTGTTAACAACAAAAGGTTTATTAATTGCATCACAGAGAGAGGTGTTGGTAACAGGAGGTTCCATGGAGAAACTTGGTGTCTGCACCCGGAAGTAGGTGATGGGGCATGTCTGCCATGTGTTTGTGTCGAATCATGCAGCACGTGGGAGAGTATCACAACACCTCACTGGCTTGTCTTTGGAGCCCTGCAATCTTGGAGATGGAAATATATTTATACAGAAATTGGTTGTGTCTCAGCACCAAAGCTTGACTATCACTTTACAGAGGTGATCACATGTGTCTCATGGTGTGCAGCCACCATCTGGCAACACTAGGAAGTGGCCCAGGAAGACATTTCCTCTAAACATTTCCTGATGGCTGGTTGTGTCGGCTGGTTGTGTCGGCTGATTGTGTTGGCTGGTTGTGTCGGCTGATTGTGTTGGCTGGTTGTGTCGGCTGATTGTGTTAGCTGGGAGAAGTTTGACAGTTGACCTGTGTGTTTGTTCATTCTAGGTGTGTCGCCATGGCAATTAACATCCATGTTGTTTTCACGCAAGCAAATGTTTGGATTCCTGAAAAATATTGACTAACAAATGTGAGGAGTTATTCTGAAAAGTCCAATTCAATATCATCCCATCCCACAAAATCCCCTTCCTCCCACTTGTGTCGGTGGGGGGGGGGGGGAGTTTGGCATCACCGGCATCTTACACATCGGCAAACAGCAGCAGCAGCCGCAGCAGCAGGGGGTTGGGGTGTTTGTAGAGGGGGGGGGGTGGGTGTACAGAGTGACTGCAGCATCATATATACGCCTATTCTGCTTCCCCTCCGATCTTCAACACATTAATGACATTGTGGCATATCACGGACTAGCCAGGGTGTTCCTCTCCGATATGTCTCCCACTGATTGCATTGTGACATATCCTGTAATCATCTCGTTGTGTGATAATGTTTCTGTGGCTGTGGCCTCGTGGCTGAATGTCAGAGTGAAGGCTGCAGAAATGCCTGTGAGAGATAGCTAACTGTGTTATAACTGTTATATATACATGTCTTGCTATTAGAGACATAACTGTTATAAACTGTTATATACCTGTCTCTTACAATGGGAGACATTGCTGTTATATACTGTTATCCCTGTCTCTTGCAATGGGATACATAGCTGTTATAAACTGTTATATCCCTGTCTCTTGCAATGGGATACTGTTATATCCCTGTCTCTTGCAAGATGGCCATGTTTGATCATGAAGAGATATGTTTCCGTATGCATGTCTGAGTTCTTGAAGTTCATCAAGCGAGATGAAGTTGTTGTCATCTAATGTGGTGTATGTTATCTTCCAGAGAGGTCCCCCTTACCTTACAACATGGATCTCGAGATACCTGACGACATCGGTGAGTACCAGTTTGTAACTCTCTCACAGCTGGGGAATAGTTCCCTCCCCCTTCTCCACCCCACAGACTGCCAGTGTCCAGTGTAGAGAAGTGAGTCCCTCCCCCTTCTTGACCCCACAGGCTGCCAGTGTACAGTGTCGAGCAGTGAGTCCCTCCCCCTTCTTGACCCCACAGACTGCCAGTGTACAGTGTCGAGCAGTGAGTCCCTCCCCCTTCCCCACCCCACACACTGCCAGTGTACAGTGTCGAGCAGTGAGTCCCTCCCCCTTCTTGACCCCACAGGCTGCCAGTGTACAGTGTCGAGCAGTGAGTCCCTCCCCCTTCCCCACCCCACACACTGCCAGTGTACAGTGTCGAGCAGTGAGTCCCTCCCCCTTCCCCACCCCACAGACTGCCAGTGTCCAGTGTAGAGAAGTGAGTCCCTCCCCCTTCTTGACCCCACAGGCTGCCAGTGTACAGTGTCGAGCAGTGAGTCCCTCCCCCTTCCCCACCCCACAGGCTGCCAGTGTACAGTGTCGAGCAGTGAGTCCCTCCCCCTTCCCCACCCCACACACTGCCAGTGTACAGTGTCGAGCAGTGAGTCCCTCCCCCTTCCCCACCCCACACACTGCCAGTGTACAGTGTCGAGATGTGAGTCCCTCCCCCTTCCCCACCCCACAGACTGCCAGTGTACAGTGTAGAGAAGTGAGTCCCTCCCCCTTCTTGATCCCACAGGCTGCCAGTGTACAGTGTCGAGCAGTGAGTCCCTCCCCCTTCTTGACCCCACAGACTGCCAGTGTACAGTGTCGAGCAGTGAGTCCCTCCCCCTTCCCCACCCCACAGGCTGCCAGTGTACAGTGTCGAGCAGTGAGTCCCTCCCCCTTCCCCACCCCACACACTGCCAGTGTACAGTGTCGAGATGTGAGTCCCTCCCCCTTCCCCACCCCACAGACTGCCAGTGTCCAGTGTAGAGAAGTGAGTCCCTCCCCCTTCCCCACCCCACACACTGCCAGTGTACAGTGTCGAGCAGTGAGTCCCTCCCCCTTCTTGACCCCACAGACTGCCAGTGTACAGTGTAGAAAAGTGAGTCCCTCCCCTCTTCCCCACCCCACAGACTGCCAGTGTACAGTGTCGAGCAGTGAGTCCCTCCCCCTTCTTGACCCCACAGACTGCCAGTGTACAGTGTCGAGCAGTGAGTCCCTCCCCCTTCTTGACCCCACAGGCTGCCAGTGTACAGTGTAGAGAAGTGAGTCCCTCCCCCTTCTTGACCCCACAGGCTGCCAGTGTACAGTGTCGAGCAGTGAGTCCCTCCCCCTTCTTGACCCCACAGACTGCCAGTGTACAGTGTAGAGAAGTGAGTCCCTCCCTCTTCTTGACCCCACAGACTGCCAGTGTACAGTGTAGAGAAGTGAGTCCCTCCCCCTTCTTGACCCCACAGACTGCCAGTGTCCAGTGTAGAGAAGTGAGTCCCTCCCCCTTCTTGACCCCACAGACTGCCAGTGTACAGTGTCGAGCAGTGAGTCCCTCCCCCTTCTTGACCCCACAGACTGCCAGTGTACAGTGTAGAGAAGTGAGTCCCTCCCCCTTCTTGACCCCACAGGCTGCCAGTGTACAGTGTCGAGCAGTGAGTCCCTCCCCCTTCTTGACCCCAAAGACTGCCAGTGTACAGTGTAGAGAAGTGAGTCCCTCCCCCTTCTTGACCCCACAGACTGCCAGTGTACAGTGTAGAGAAGTGATTCCCTCCCCCTTCTTGACCCCACAGGCTGCCAGTGTACAGTGTAGAGAAGTGAGTCCCTCCCCCTTCTTGACCCCACAGGCTGCCAGTGTACAGTGTCGAGCAGTGAGTCCCTCCCCCTTCTTGACCCCACAGACTGCCAGTGTACAGTGTAGAGAAGTGAGTCCCTCCCCCTTCTCCACCCCACAGACTGCCAGTGTAGAGAAGTGAGTCCCTCCCCCTTCTTGACCCCACAGGCTGCCAGTGTACAGTGTAGAGAAGTGAGTCCCTCCCCCTTCTTGACCCCACAGGTTGCCAGTGTACAGTGTCGAGCAGTGAGTCCCTCCCCCTTCTTGACCCCACAGACTGCCAGTGTACAGTGTAGAGAAGTGAGTCCCTCCCCCTTCCCCACCCCACAGACTGCCAGTGTCCAGTGTAGAGAAGTGAGTCCCTCCCCCTTCTTGACCCCCCAGACTGCCAGTGTACAGTGTAGAGAAGTGCATCCCTCCCCCTTCTTGACCCCACAGGCTGCCAGTGTACAGTGTCGAGCAGTGAGTCCCTCCCCTCTTCCGACCCCACACACTGCCAGTGTACAGTGTAGAGAAGTGAGTCCCTCCCTCTTCTTGACCCCACAGACTGCCAGTGTCCAGTGTAGAGAAGTGAGTCCCTCCCCCTTCTTGACCCCACAGACTGCCAGTGTACAGTGTAGAGAAGTGCATCCCTCCCCCTTCTTGGCCCCACAGACTGCCAGTGTACAGTGTCGAGAAGTGAGTCCCTCCCCTCTTCCTACCCCACACACTGCCAGTGTACAGGGTAGAGAAGTGAGTCCCTCCCCTCTTCCTACCCCACACACTGCCAGTGTACAGTGTAGAGAAGTGAGTCCCTCCCTCTTCTTGACCCCACAGACTGCCAGTGTACAGTGTCGAGAAGTGAGTCCCTCCCCTCTTCCGACCCCACACACTGCCAGTGTACAGTGTAGAGAAGTGAGTCCCTCCCTCTTCTTGACCCCACAGCCTGCCAGTGTACAGTGAAGAGAAGTGAGTCCCTCCCCTCTTCCGACCCCACACACTACCAGAGTACAGTGTAGAGAAGTGAGTCCTCCCCCCTCCCTCCCCCCTCACACACACACAAACTCCAGTGTAGTCAGTGGGGGTTCCAGGCATACACCCAGGTGCAGCATATTGACCTGATATTCCTGACACACTGACCAACATCTCCAGCTACCACATGTCCACTAGATGCATCATACATAGCAACCTTCAGATATACTCTGTCCATGTGACCTTCAGTCACAATAAGATTCGAATGCAGCAACAGTGCCATACAGAACCAATACACTGGTGCACGAGAAGTGATGCTTGCACTACTGGCATGCGATTCTAATGAACCCGCTTATTTCTGATCCTGTGGGTAATTAATACCAGAATCATGGTCACAGTGTTAAATACCAGAATCATGGTCACAGTGTTAAATACCAGACAAGACAGATACACTCCAGTTGTCTCATCATCACAGTGATAAGTTTTCCCGACTCAATTGCCGAGTATGTCTGACTTTTCACCAACAAAAAGGTGTGTTCTTTGTCTTGTCCTCCAGAATACTGCTGCCAATAATCTGACCCCATAAGGATGTCTAAGTTGATTTGCCTGAATACTGTTAATTCTGAAATTAATGTGTCTCCAAAAGAATGCGACCGCTGGCCCCTAGCCCCTTCAGGAGGGTTTGGAAGAGGGAGTGTATCTCAGGGGGGTTTTGGTTGATGTGATCGGCGTTAAGGTGCACATGGAGGCATATGTGGACAACCGCGTCATTCTCAGTAATATGGCGAATTAACAAAATGCATCTCAATATGAATGCGACACACACCCCCTGCTATTAAGCATCGGTGGATTTATATCTAAAGAAAATGTCCTCTGTCAGGTTTACAGGAGAATCCACACCTTAATCCAACCTTACATTAGTCCAATCACATACCAAATAGCACCGCTTATAAGCGCTGAGTAGAGTACTTTCGCTAAAACAATACATGCACGCTGGCTCGTGTTGGCCTTTGACACAGTCACAAAGAACAAAGACACCGTGTTGCGTGGGTGGCGTCTGTCTGGACTTGCAGGTGTGACAATTCACAGGATGTAATTAGTGTTTGAATGACATTGTTTATATAATTGTTACAAGTGCTGCTCAATAAACAGTGACTAGCGGTAGTGATCAGGCTCACTGACTTGGTTGATATAGGCCATCGATCCCAATTGCGTGCATTGATGCTCATGATGTCAATCACTAGATTATCTGGTCCAGACTCGATTATTATACAGACCGCCGTCACATAGCTGGAATATTATTGAGTGCGGCATTAAACAACACACAAACAAACAAACAATAAACAGTAATTTCTTAATTGATGAAAGTTGGTAATTCTGCTATCCAAAATGTTTTACCCGGATATTGTCCATATAAATGTGATGTTTATAATGCAAGCAAAGACCACTCACATTTTTCACATTTAATTTACACTCGCATTAATTTTAAGATATACAGTATTTTGTAGTTTATTGGGCGAGGAAGCCTGTCAGTATGGGATTCCCCTCACTGTAGACTCCTGTCTGCATCTCACAGCAGGTGATGTACAGGTCCTCCACACAGCCCTGGCTCCTGTCTGCATCTCACAGCAGGTGATGTACAGGTCCTCCACACAACCCTGGCTCCTGTCTGCATCACGCAGCAGGTGATGTACAGGTCCTCCACACAACCCTGGCTCCTGTCTGCATCACGCAGCAGGTGATGTACAGGTCCTCCACACAGCCCTGGCTCCTGTCTGCATCACGCAGCAGGTGATGTACAGGTCCTCCACACAGCCCTGGCTCCTGTCTGCATCACGCAGCAGGTGATGTACAGGTCCTCCACACAACCCTGGCTCCTGTCTGCATCCCACAGCAGGTCGTGTACAGGTCCTCCACACAACCCTGGCTCCTGTCTGCATCACGCAGCAGGTGATGTACAGGTACCTCACACAGCCCCGGCTCCTGTCTGCATCACGCAGCAGGTGATGTACAGGTCCTCCACACAGCAGGTCATGTACAGGTCCTCCACACAACCCTGGCTCCTGTCTGCATCACGCAGCAGGTGATGTACAGGTCCTCCACACAGCAGGTCATGTACAGGTCCTCCACACAACCCTGGCTCCTGTCTGCATCACACAGCAGGTGATGTACAAGTCCTCCACACAGCAGGTCATGTACAGGTCCTCCACACAGCAGGTCATGTACAGGTCCTCCACACAACCCTGGCTCCTGTCTGCATCACGCAG